GTCATTATCCTGGAGGAGATTGGTTCCCACTGCATGAGAGCTTTAGCCGCTGTTGGTGACATCATGATGGCTACTCCCTCGGTGTGCTCGTGATTGTCCTCTGGGTGACCGGAGTAGATTATTGTCTCTCCAGTTGATAGTTGGCTCCTTCCACATCCGTTCCATCTGCTCTCGCAGATTCCCAACACTTCTATTCTATATCTCCTAATTTCTGCGGCTACCTGAGCAGCCTTCCCAGCTTCGTACATTGTACGAACATTCCACGTCCCCATCCTTATTTTCGCTTTCATCGAAAGAAGGCACATCGGCTGACTGGCTTCCCGAAGGCTTTCACCAGCTTGCGTCATTTCACTTCCCCGATTCCAGCGAAAAATAAGGTCACTATTTGTAATTTTAGAATTTTGAATATATTTGTGCGTTGAAGTTTTAGTAGCAATTTGGTTAAGCTTTGGGGGTGGAGTTGCCAGCACCACGCCCCAACCCTCCCTCTTTATCCGGGCTTGGGACCGGCTAGAATACTAGTGACCTAGTAATCTAGGCGAGGTTATTCTATCATATACGATATAGTATTCTTCATATATGAAATAACCGGTTAACTATCGTCCGTTGCAAACAGTGTCTTCGTATTCTATATAACCAACATCAAATATTTTCAAGTTTTAAGAACTCACTTACTTTTTACTAACTTGAATTTATGGTGGGGAATGAGAAGAGGTGAATTCATTGAGAACGTGTATCAAGATATGTAGAAGTTGTTCCGCGACGAGAGTTCTCAACAAATTTATTATCAGGCCATAAAATCGCATATGTGTAAGTTATTTGAAACAATAATGTGAACTGCAACGAAATATATGCGTGTATTATCATACCTGAACACCAACCAACATTGTAGATTGTTACTTATAGAAAAATTCGAGGGGTGCGTAAATCTTAGAAAAAGGTGTAGAATTAATCAGTCTAGTAAGCAAAAAAGTAGGTAACAGTGTGAGAATTTCGACAAAATTAAATTAGATAAATTAAAAGTCACAAGTGAGACAACAGCGGACATTATGCGAAGTGGAGAAAGTAATAAGGGATAGATTTACATATCGAATAAACAAAACGAGGGATAAGTGGGATAGGTTAAAACAGGGACTGTCATACATTAACATAGACGAATTAAGACCATGAACTGTTTAGTAAATTACATAACCTATTCTGTTGTGATTCAAATAACGCTTATATATATATATATATATATATATATATATATATATAGCAATCAGTGGTGTTTTTGTTGCCATGAATTGAATGTGTTTGGAATGATGTTTTCATTCCTTATTATCTGACATGTTTTGGAAGGGCTTGTAGGCCTTCATTTAATCCCCCTGTCAAATTTCGTTCATTGTCTTCAATATTGTAAAGTTTCCGTAGCAGTGCTGTCGTCTTCACAAGATGAGGTTACTGTCTTCACGCCCAGTTTTCCTTCTTTTCTAAATTTACTTCTTGGCTGGTAAACTAGGTGTCTGGGGGTCGAATTTTGACTTCTCTTGTGGCGGCCGACCACACCTCCATTTAACTATAAACGCACAATATTGACTAATTAAGGTTTCTAAATGTGTTGCATTGTTTGATGTTTAAAAGCTTCCAGATTCAGCTACGCATTATTTCTATAATATGAGGCATAAATAGTTGGACCTCTAGGATTCTTAGGGATAACAGCAGTCCTAATAACAATAACAAGCAACTAGGAGAAATATTACAATAAGTTGGGTTTTCGAGAGAAAATTCCAGTGAGGAAATCGCCTCTAGTACTTATTCAGCTAGTAGGTTGTTTTTAGCCTTTCTGATTAGATTACTTGACAAAAAAGTGTGCTAATGAAAACTGTTTACTTTTAAATTTATTTTTCATTCCTACCGGCATCTTCGTTACGAGCACTATATATATATATTAAAGACATGACATATTGAAGTGACATATCCAGAGGGAATCTGTATGAACCGACCGGCTAACAAAATTTTATCTCGGGATACGCTTGAGCTGGGAGGGAGTTCTTATGGTTCTATTTTTTCATTTCAAAAGCCTACATCACTGATTATTTAAACGAACTTTAGTTTCTAAAAAATTCCTGGCTAGAATAGATACCCAGAGAACAACAAAACTAAACACAATGAGAAACACTTCACGTAAACATGAAGTACAAGGGGAACTTTGTGGCAGATATCCCCTGAAGAATTCTTAATTTTTTAAAGAAAAATTTGCAGCGACCTACCCCCATCCGATTGCATCTCTTGTGCAGCTACATATATAAGTTGTTCTTCAAATCAAGATAGAAAACTTTACGCAGCTTGGTTTCTATTTTTTTAAATTTTTTTATTTACAGCTTGATTCCACACCGTATTTTCAGTACAAGAGCATGAGGTGCAACACTGTTTCTACAAGTAGTACTATAGTTGAGCATCTCATGAAAACTTTTTATATAATCTTAACAGACTCACTATTCAAAATCACAAAGGGAAAGGAAGTCTGCCTAAGAAAGTTTGCTTCGAAGTCCTTTACACTGCAGGTTCCTTTGCATGCAGGAGATAGAATTATGTTCACTTCATGTTCTTTCAACCTATATATCTAAAATGGACTCAGTTTTGTTTCAGTCTTTCCCCTCACATTTCATTGCGTGACTTCCATCATCACACCTTGTTTTCAAAGACTACTTCTATATCGTGCCACCTAATTTCTGGCATATCAGGTCATACATCAATGCTTTTATTCAACACAAGTACAGAAAGAACGAGCGACATGACTTCACTTGATGAATGAACTAGTGACTCACCACTTCTTATCGACGTATATTAGAGCAGAAGGCTCACATTTTAACTAGGTCAAATCAGGCCACAAGATGCGGTTGTTTTATTGAAATGCTTATATCTAGAAATATATATAGTAAGTCAGACAGGAAGATACTCGCATGTTACTCAGGAAGTGCAACCAGGGTGAGTCGCTACAACTGTATTCGGATAAATATTCATATTTCACTAACATAAATTTCACATATAAATTGAAATGTTCTTCAGTCACATTAACTTAGAGACGGGTTTATTTAGTAAGTCCTTCAGTCATCCGGTGTTAGTGGATGATTACCACTTCTTTTGAACTTTAAAGATTTACGTAAACCATGCTTTGGTTAGAAGGCATGCATGCTTGTGAAAAAAAAGGGAAATATATATGAAGAGAGCACTTAGAGAGGTGATTAAACAGCTGGGAAAACATGAGTATGCGACACTTCCTGATCACACCTGTTTTTGATAAAAACTATTTTTACTATTGCACGACTATATTCGTAATCCTTTATTGTTCCTGATTGCCATTGCTTTCTTGATTAATATTATTCTCTTATTCCTAACAAGTTGAAAATTACTATCTTGAACGCTAACCGTATTTTCTATGACGATTATTGTACATTTATTGAGAATGAAATCATTGAAAAAAATTGCTAAACTTCTTGTTTTCTCTCTGATTTCCTGGTAAATCTTCTAATATCAAATGGGATGATAAACGATCACCTCCAGTCTGACGTAACTGCCCTGGATTTCTTTAGCGTAGCTAATACCTTAATTAACATTGTTAATTCATCACCACCATCCTTAAACATCTTTGCAGAGTGATACCCACTGTTTTACTTTGCTTTAGATTGGTTTGTTTTTTTCAACCTCAGCCACAGTTACAGGACGACTATCTACAACGTATTCGAGCAGTTTTCGGACCAACCTGTTAGATAAGCAGTCTCAAAAACAGTTGACTTTACTAGAAGCCTTATATAGCCTTATATTTCTTGATATTATTGAAATGTTTATTATGCAGTTTCAATTGAAATAAAGTTTGATTGACACCCGTTTAATGTAACACCACTAGTCTGGTTGTTTGTGAATTGTGTTGTTAAACACAACCTTTACAGTCAACAGCACGAAGTAATCCAAAGTTGCTTCTTTGTGTTTCAGTTAATCAGTTCAGTATTTTTGTGGGTCAAGTGGAATTTACCTAAACAATCTAAATTCTCCCACATGGCTCAGACCGATACTTCATGGACCAGCTGTCGTTTCCATAAACCGTTTCAAGTATGTGAACTGCTAGTTTTAGGTTTAAAGTACTACTCCAAACCAGAAAGAAAACGCATTAGGAAGTAGCATTACTGCATAGTGATTTAAGTTGATTAATTTGCTCTGAATTAGTCACCCACTTTTTGTTTTTTCCACTCGCAGCATCTAGGAACCTTACTCTAGTTTCCATAAAGCAGCAGATTATGGTAAACAATGGGTGAACATGTATGACATGTTTTAATCACCTCAAAAATGGGTATTTATAACGTCGGCTGACATATCAATTTTATTTACGATTGTATTCTTCGTTTTCTATATTGTTCACATCGTGGTTTCGCAAAACATTAGCAATTCTGTGCGGCCCTAGCGACCATACGGTAGTATAAAGTGGAGTGTTGTGCAGTGCAGTTGACAGTCAGTGTTTAGTGGGGCATTTTGTCGAAAACAAAGTGTTCGTATCAGTGTTGAAATTCCGTCGCCTAACAACTATGAAGAGTTCCTAAGAACTCTCATGTAAGTTGAGTGGTTGATGCCGTCCCCTAACTCAATTTCTAGCCAGACGATGTCAGAATGTTAGTAATATCTATTTACACATCTCTGTGTCTTTGAAAACACTTTATCCTATCGTCGTTAGTAATAAGCACAATATAACTCACTGAGTTCAAGTATATTCATTGTTCTCATAGCCCATTTTATATTTCTTCTCTTTGTTTGCAAGTGCCTTCAACTCTTATTGTACAGAAAGAATATTCAAAATGTCTTCCAGTATCGTATTAGCCACTTGTTAAGAAAATGCATTTAAAATTCAGAATTCGTTTTCTCATATCAGTACTGCTTCTTTTGACGATTTTGTTTTCAATAACATGGAAATTCTCAGGATTTCCGAACCAATATATATCAAGAATGAGTTTATTTCAGGCGGAGTTCGGAAACTTGAAGCCAACTTTGATAAAGACTAAAGGATACGAATGTCACTCACATGACATAGAAGTTTTTCAACCTCGAATGAGTACATATCATAAAGATGACCATCAGCTGAATTCCTGTGTAAACTGTAAGAATTCTGTGGTGGTTTTCACATTTTCGAAAAGTTCACCTACGAACAGATACTTAGCTTATATCCTGAAAGTTCTATTGATTCCATATCATGTCATTACTATTAATCACGTACAAACAAACAGTATTTCAGCCTTCTTGAAAGTGCTTTCACATACTGAGCGTATTACTATGATAATTTTTGAGAACTTTGCTATTTACACTAATTTACCACAAGGAGAAAGATCTCAGGTTGATATTTTCTGCAGAAAGCACAATGTTGGAGTTATTGGATTTTTATTCGATGGTGAAACCTTCACAACTGAAGCCGGCACATGGTCTAAGGTGAGCTAATTCACTTATTTTCTTCTAGATGTAAGTTTTTGTTTGAACCATAACTTTGTTGCCACAAATTGTTTGAAACTGTTTGTGGATTTATGCTCAACATATAAAGCTATAAATTCCGTATGCTAGTGGATAAAATGATATTCCACATATGCGGTGTTTGATTGGTTTTTTTTACAATAATATGTTGGTGTTCATGAGATAATTGCATCTAATTGCTTATTAAGAAAACTAAAAGCTGGTAAGTATTCATAAGTAGAATTTACTGTCTTTAAACATTCAGTCTACTTATGAACTGAGATATATGTTTAAGAAATGAAAATGGTTAACACATGTTACATGTTTAAGTTCATTTGGTAAAAGTGATCTAAAAACTACGTGAAATAGAAGAGTCAAACCTAAAAGTGTTGATGGTCGATCTCCCCTGTAAAACTACAATTCTGTATACCGATCACAGTAGTTATTTACTTTGTTATTTGGTTTTCTACCCAAGACCATTATCCTCAACCTTCTTTTACCTTGACTATACAGCATTAATATACAAGTGTGAATACTAAAATATTTGATTCCTAATTGTTTTGTTTAATTATTGGAATGCTTATTGTATCTTGAACACCAATGAAGCTGGCCAAATCAAAACCAATTCAGGGAAACTCATAATTCGTCAAAATAAATCACAATCTCCTGAAGTATGGTAGGAGTACAAAAAGCGCTAGGTCTGATGGAGAAGATTTGTAGCTCAGGTGGATGGTTTTGATGTGGTTGCGTTTTGTGAGCTGGGTGCTTTAATTGTGAAGACTTCATAGTCCTTCTAGACAACATCTTCATCTCAAACTTCAGTATGAAGTGGGAACATTTTTCGTTGGTGAATAAGGTTTTACGATAAGTACATATTCACACCTGTGCGGAAATAAGGAGAAAAATAACTGTCGACAGGCATTTGCAACTGTTTTTTATACACAGTTGTTGGAATTTTAGAAGTGAAGCTTCCCTTGTGTGGTTTCTGAGTTCTTTCCAGCTAAGTGAGAATTACAGTTACACTGTTTATAAACGTTCATATTACTCGATATATTAATATGTGAAATATCTCATAAGCCCTGTAACATTTATAGATATCAAATTCATATTCAATTTTATGGAATTGTGACTATCCAAAAGAATTCGAATAATGTCCTGTGGTGGATTTTTCAAGAATTTTCAACGTAATTGTTGACATTTTTCTACGCTTTAGAATGCTTCATGTTTTGTGCACATAAAATTAAGTAGCCCATACTAGTTACCTTTAGTTACCAAAACCTGAAGATTTTAAGTAGTAAAGTAGCGTTAGTAAATAGTAAGGAATGTAGTGTATTAAAGAATATAAATATGCGAGTTCTACTAACTGAGTATATTGAGAAGTTGTAGTGATGATATCATTGGATTCATTAGCTTATTTTCCATCTTGGTTGGTTTAATTCTTCATTTCCTAAGCCACTTTCGCTTCGTCTTCAGATTTTAGTATGGTGTATCTTTGGGTGCCTACAGTGTAAAACGCTTGTAATTTCAACGGATAAGTGAAATAATAAGATAGGAAAGAAAAAGAGGTAGGACAAGAAGTAGGTGTTTATGGAAACCTGGTAGCTGATAGGGGAGAGAAGAATAGCGAAACATATGAACCAATGTAAAGATCAACCACGAAAAGAGAAGGTGAGCACTCTACAAAGAAGTGGAGAAAAGTGCCAAGAAAGAAAAAATACGATTTTACGACACACTGGCAACTGAAGTGAAACAGACCGCAGGTGAGAGAGACCTCACAACACTGCATCAAGTAACCAGGTCGCTATGTGGGAAGAGATAAATACAGATAAAGCTAGTGAAAGATACGGAAGAAAAGTCAGGCATCAAAGAGTAGAAATAGAGCAAACGCTGAGCCGATCACTTTAAAGGACTCTTGAATCGACCATCATCTAGAACTGGTCTAGAAATATCACTACTAGCTGACACAGAACTACGAGTGAACACTTATTCTCCGATCAAAGCATAAGTCTTAAGGGCTATAAGCTTACTAAGAGCTGGCCAGGAAGAGGTGGAGTCATATAGGCAGGCAGTCGAGTGAAACGCGAATGGGAAGAGACGAGTTGGACATCTAATGGTGACACTCAGGAGGTCATATGAAAAGGAAATGAATGGCTGAGTCATAATAATAATAATAACAATGATAAAGTCTTCTTGTGTCTAAATATGGGCTGGTTAATTCTACCAATTTATGCAGGCGTCTTTTATGTGTTACATCTAGCCATGCTTTTAAATTCTGGTGTATTTTCAGATGGACTTATATTCATGAAGCAAAATAAGTTCACCACTAATATCCCAAACATACATACTTACACACATACTTTTAGTAGTGCATTCACCCAACATTTTGTGGAAGTACAATATGAAGTGAATGTCTTAAGATGCGTCAATGTGAACAACAAACAATATATTACAAGTGTGCTTAAATTTGCTGAAACAGTAGCGTATTACATTATTTTGAGCATAATTAGTGTCTAGCTTTCTGTTGAACAAGTCGATTTAATTTCATCTTGTACTTGCTATTTCACTTTAATTATGACATGAAATCTGAAGCTGATGTCAAATTATACATTATTTAGGAAGAGTAAATTATGCCAAGTTTTCTTTGTTGGAAGTCATATTCATGAATAACTGTTCTCTTTTAACTGCAAGGTTGGAGAGCTACCACTCTACATCCATCGACTTGAAAAGCCTCCTCAGGGGCTTTATACATCAAAGAGTTCACCACTGTTCAGGATTACACGTCCCAACCGGATGAATCCCGACATACTTGATATTCAGGAACAAATTTATGGCACGCAAAACATAACACGCACTCAACATGTTTGTTGTATGGCAACGTTGGTTCCTGTTTCAAATAATGTGCATTCATACAGAACTATTGCATTTACCAAAACTGGTGAATATTTTGGACCTATGTCAAATTATGACTCATTACCGGTTAATATGAAAAGTTGTGAGGTGAGTTAACTTTTATAATAACAAATGCAGTGGATAATGTGGAATATTTATCTAATACCTCTCAATTGTAATTCATTTTACTTGCACATAATTGGGTGAAACGTGAAAAATAAATCTTCGGGAAACAAATAATAAGCCTATTTTATTCTTTGTAGTCAAGTAGGATTCCATTGACTATTTACTTCTTTGAAGTCTGTTTAGTGTAATTGTAACAGTTCACAGTACTTACTTTACTTTACTTCGGCTATCTCCTACGGGAGGATGAGCCGGCTTCATGAACATCTCGAATCATCGCTGCCCAGGCGCAGCGATCTGATGCAAGGTTTCGCGACAGGGTTTTCCAATTCTTGTTTCACAAACGGAGTCCGTAGACGGTTTGTAGCCCCAGGCACTCCATATCAGCCTTGACTGTACCAAGCCATGTTTTCAGCGGTCCACCCCTGCGACATCGCCAAGATGGTAATGGCGAGGGATTTAGAACTGATTTGACCAGATCGTCATCTGGTCGGCGCAGAACATGGCCAAACCACCGAAGGCGACGTTGTAAGAGAGTTCATGAAGTTTCATGGGAATTTGGTACGAGTGATGTCCCTAGAATCGCTCGGCCTTTTGTTTGAGAGTGCAGCTCTAGCCTTTACACAACCAAGTGTGACCTACAAGGCAGTAGGAGTGGAGTAGGGAGTCCACTATCCATTGGCAGCCGGTGACCGGAGTTCGGTTCATACGCCTTTTTGAATGGGGCCAGACATCCAGGACATCCAACAAGCCCTTTGTCCATACGTCTGTCGGTGAGCTCCAGTGAGCTTCATACGCCAGTCGTTAGAGGTTTGGAATCAGGGTTTAGCCATCTCCCCTAGACTGTCATCCAATGGACAGTCAACCCGGTGAAGAGCGCCGGGCATCCGCTTTCGCCCTCTCACTTTGGTGAAAAACACCTCCGCCACGTGAAGGCAGTGAGTAGGACTTCCTCAGGAGAGGCTATGTAAGACGCCTGGTCATATGGGAGCATTTCAAGAGGTGTGCGGAGGGGTGGCCAACCCGCAGCGCAAGGCACCCACCCTCGACCATCCTGAGGCTTTGGAGGCCCAGTGCTTCTGCATCGGTAACCTCCAGCCTGAAATCGTTATAATGTTCTGCAGCACTTACAAATTCGTATTGCACAGTCACATGTGTTTTAGATTCTGTTCTTAAAGAATGCTTCGATGTGAGTGGTCTTGCCCTACGCCTGTGAAACATAATCTCTTCGAGCTAAGGATGTGCGGCCGCTTTGCATATTCTATCCTCGCACCGTTTTTCTACTTTTGTATGAAATATGGAGTGTGGCAAGTTGAGCTGCTACATTTCTGTATGAAGTTCTACGTTGAAACTCAGTCAGTTTGACAGTTGTATTTTTCAGGTTACAAATAAACTGTATTGCTTTACTCATGCCTTTTCTCACTCGATAAACATGTTACTATTAACTAGAGAATATCATGACAAGAATCACATCTAACCTAAGAGAAAAGTCGATTAAGCACTAAGTGAGTATCAAATAATGAGGACTGTAGTCTACTTGCAAAGAAATGTTCGGAGTAATGAAATCCAGATGTAGACGTAAGAATTGTTAAGTGTGTCCCTTATTGTTCAATTTCATTACGGACTGTATAGATCATTTTTCCGAAAGCTGGCAGAAACCCTACTCAAATTTCTTGAGTTTCATGATCCCTCATTCTAATTAAGTGTAGGATAACTAAGAGATCCGGAGTCTAGTCGCTTTTCAGTTTTAACGAAAGATTTCCCTTGCTACTGATAATATTGCGTTTTTAGAGTAGACAAAAAGCATCGTGCCTTAGCTTATTTCCAATCAGTCGGATTGATTTCTTTTGGATTTTATCGTCAAATACATTAAACACCAGCTACCCTTACTGTTGCATCCCCATTTCTGGGACATTTTCACATTTAGCGACTATTGTGAAAGCGTTACACTGATGCCTCAGTTACTTTATGTCCTAATAGTGGTTCAGTCTGGAGATTATTTCACCTTGCTTCCATAGTGTCCCACTCCTTGTTTCAGTTATATACCCATATATGTGATCCAAGACAGTTCCCTTGGATTGGTGAAGATCATTGATCTTCCCAGTTTACGTAAAAGGAAAAAAATCGGCCGGTGACAAAAGCAGGTGGATCAGGTTAACTGGCATTCTAGGTTTTTGCGAAAAATCAGAGGGGTGCAGAATAGAAGTAACCTAAGAACATCAAGACGGCCTATTGGCATGGCCGTATCTTCACCTGTCAACAGCTTCTAATGTTGTCTTTCCAGGTGATGACGTTGACAAGATGCATATGCCTATGTACCCACATACGTATGCATGCATAATGATGGATGCATTTACGACCTAAGCGAAACTCTGTATTATCTTCGCGAAACCATTTCTCACAAGTTTTATCAAACCTGTGGAACAAAATTGTAGCTAATGCATTAGATGCAACTGGTTAGAGACAAATAACGTGATGACTGTCACATCCATTACGTTGGCCCTTTTTTGAAGATATGCACTGTGATGGGATACTGTCACTAGAGTTTCATCTTCGTCTTTCTTAATAGTCAAGGATTATTTGTCTAAAACAAGTTTTTAATACTACTTAAGTACTTGAAGTTCCTTTCAGACTCCCCTGTGTTAGGTGATGTTAGTTGACGACGGTGCATTGTACTCTATAATAACTAATATTAGAACTGTCTGCCATCTGAAATGTTTCTCAAAGTGTCCTGTGCAGCTTTCTACTTTATCAGTGATCGTCAGCCAGTGTAACATCTTCCTCACAGACACCATCTCACTGACATCATTCTTCTTACTACTAGTGGCTTGTATAAGCCGGGACAAATTATGACTATCGCCAAATACAGCTGCTGATTCCACCTCACATTCACATTTTGACCAAAAGGCTTCTAGACCCTTAACTAAACACCGTTTGATATCATGCGCAATAGTCCTACACACATTAACATACACACTATCTGCAGGAATCGACCTACAGTTTTATATTCAACTTCAGTAGTGAACACAACCAATTTACTTGCATCAGTCCTTTAGAATGACATTTATAATTACTACCAAATCACAAGATAAAGGTGACTCACACTTAAACATAACTGGAATCCAGAGAAGTGCTCCAGAAGGTAATTGATATAGATGTGTTCTGTTTAAGTTCATGCTTGAGTGGCAGAGGTAGGACGCCAGGTGGCACTGTAGAGATGGTTATGGTGGGAGTTGGTTCTGTTTAGAAATCGGTTGTAATCTGTCCAAATCCACAGAGGATGCTCCCCATTATCTAATGTGTAGCCATCTAGTGCTTATGGACTACCTAAACAACTCTCCTTTGAGCTTAGATTCCTGACCTTTGCACTGGGTTCCCCAGCTAAAACTATGTCAAGCGAGCCTTTTTGAGAAGAGGCATAGCCAAAAGTGACGAAGGCTTATCTGGTCGGTTGCTTCCTACCCTGATATAACCTTCCAGCGTAATAACACATAAACGACTTTTAATGGAGATCCATTCAATTAATTATGTTGCAGCTCTGGTGTTTAATCGACGGCAGTACCAGCTAATCTGGACGCCGATGTCTCAGGGAACCCAGATAAGCGCACATGAAGCATTCTATGCTGATCTGTAAGTGCAGGAGGTAACTCTAAGCCGTTCACTGGAATTTTTTATGCGAGTCCCCATTTAGGCTTTTCTGGTTCTCTGGATAGATCTGACTGTTCTTGGATTTACATTAGTGTGCAAATATTGTAGGTTCCAATGTTTAATGTGACACGCCTTGTCACAATAACCTCATTAGAAATCGCATTTGAGGCCAGTTTTCTGTAGGCAAGTAACTAGCAACTCAAAGTGTTTCGGGGAGACTGAAATCCAAGTCAATAATGAACGGCCGACGAACATGAAGATAAAGAAAAACGTAAAAACAGAAATAAAGAGAAATAGTTTATGTAAAAATTTTAATGGTGTTAGATGAAATCACTGGATATTCAATTTGTGGATTAATTTGCAAGAACATACAGGCGGGTTGAATTTTTCGCTTGCTTGCTGTTTCATATTTTGTATGAAGGCTGAGTTATTACCCGGTTGCATAGAGCTAAGCAGATGGTTATCTTCAGGAACGACTCCCCAGCCTTTAACCTGAGCTTTAATACATCAAGCAGCATTGAAACGTCAGGATCTGTGTTCTTATGGTATCTAATATTTTAAGTTGGCTGGTACGCTATTCTTTTCTTTCGGGTCGTGGGTTGCACATAGACTATAGGTTTGCAGTCAGGGTGTTCCAACTTCTCTATGGTAACCTTCCATGTTCACTGCTCTGGTTTTTACTGACGTGTAACCTTGTTTACCCTTTCAATTTTTTAAGAGCAAGCCCTTACTGTATGAAGGACCTACGTGGTAGAGATTGGGAGTGCGCCGATACACAATGGCATTTGGTGGGAAGACTGGAGTCGACCCACTCCCGTCTGCACCCGCTCATTTATGATGGCTATTGAAAACTCACGTACTACGTTGTGTAAATTTTATGTTATCGCGAGACTACTCAGAGTAAAGTCACTTTCCATGCATGTGCCGACTAAGAATGTCAGAAATTTATCCATAATTTATTGAAATCAAACACTTCGTTGTGCAGTATTACAGATGGCTCCAAGGTAATAAGCATTTAGGAGTCAGTAGGACAGTCTTCAGAGTTGGAAGAGGAAAATCATCTCAGATTATTATTCAAGAAGATCACAAAACAAATAGCCATAAAGCCTATTGGGGACCATACTACAGTAATGAAGTAAGTCGTTAGCCAAATTCGCCTTAATGCACCATACTATGGAGCGGTGATCGACACTTAAGGTTAACATGTGGTGTAATCTTGTTCATGGTTCTATAAGTATTCACACTGACTTCAGTTAGGTAAACAACTGTTTTATGATACTCCTTTTATCATAATAGTTAATACAAGGCTCTCCATCCATTTTGGTAGGCATAAGTCT